TATTAGTATTATTAGTATTATCTTCTGCTTTTGTTTTCGTCTTTGGGGTATGTTGGTGTTTTTGTCCCTGTTTCTCTGCAGGAGTGTGCCGCCTGTCGAATGCAAGATCTTTGATGTCAACCCGTAGGTCCGATCTGACTGGTCAATGACGTGGGCTCGGCTTGTAAAGTGTCGCCCGCTGATTGGTTCTCCTGGGGAGCCACAACATCCGCCGGGGTTCAAAACGTCGAGCCGCGCAGAAGTCTTCGACAGAATCCTTAGCAGCAGCACCCTTCTGTCCTCGATCGTAGAGTGTGTGTTTGTTTGGAGATAGCGTGTTAGTTGGCGAGTGTTGAATTAGTATTAGATTGTATTTTTTTCTATGATTGTGTTTAGTGATTATTGTAGGGGTTACGCTCCATTTTCGTTGTACTGTTTTTCTCCCTGGGTTTTTCATTAGGTAGGGAGTTAAGTTGTATAGAACTTATTGTCTTTATATTAAATAGGGATTAGTAAGCGATCTGTTTGAAGAAGCTCTGTTTTGTTTGTTTTTCTTGGTTCACCTAGGGGGCGGGTTTTGTGTTGTTTTGGTGCACTTGGGGGGCGGTGTGGTCATGGGTGGTTGTATAAATTAATGTCATCACTCATTGTTAACACTGGTGTTACTCGGTTCGTCGCGTTGGGCAGGATCGGCGTCTAGATTGTTGGTTCATTTTCTTTATACATTTATGTGGCGCTCCTTCCCCCTAGACAGGGGCGTAACATGAAGCTTTCAAAGTAGGTCAAAATGGAGGATGTTCATGTGGGATGCATGTTGGGAGTCCCTATGGTGGGTCTGCACTGGTGTGCACAACCGCCTCTGGCACCCATGACTTCACACTTTGTGTCCTGTGTGTTTCTAGCCTCAGGGTGCCACAGATTGTGCTGTAGCTCTGTTGCCATCCAACCAGCCTGCCTGGCAGCAACAGCACAATTAAAACAGAGCCGCCGGGATCTGACAGGTAGATCTGGATGGTAGAGTTTGTGTTACACCAACGCAGAACCAGGTCACATGAACCAAACAGGAACTGCAGTTGACTTCTGAGTTGAGTAGATAGGCAATGAATAGGCAAGTACTCAGATCCTTTACGTAAATTAAAGTACCAATACCACACAGTAAAAATATTCTGTTACAAATAAAAGTCCTGCTTTGACAATGTTGGTTCAGTAAAGCTATGCAAGTATAATCAAAAAATGTTTTTAAGTATTTAAGGTCAAATGCAGAAAATTATCATGTATTAATGTAAAAGTATGACTTTAAAGGAAATTAGTTAATTGATTGTTTGGTTTGTAAAGATTCTGAAAATAGTGAGAAATGCTGTCACAATTACCCAGGGCGTGAAGGTGATCCAGCATTCTGAAGGAAGGAAGTGAACCTTCACAATGTTATTTTATCCAACCAACAGTCCAAACCTCAACATTTGTAAATCAACTAATTGCTTACTCAACTAATCATTTCACCTGTACTTATACTGTTGGGTTTTAAGTTATTCAAAACTAAAAAAAAAACTGTTAAAACGTATTATATTGAAAACGTTTAGTAACAAACGATTATTGATTAAGCAGCTTTTACTAGTAATTTGAATTGACTCTAACTTACTAAGTTACAGAAACATTCTTGATTAAGTACTTTGTACTAGGTTTTTTGTTTTCACAGAACAAATAAAAAATAGATGTCAGTGTCTTTACTAAAAATAACTAAAGCTATCTGATCATGAATGTTTGAGTTAGTTTTACTTAAAATTTTCAATGTAATCAGTTTTAACAATTCTTTGAGTTAAATTAACTTATCTGTTTAAGTATTTAACATTTGTACTTCAGCACTAGCACTCAGTAAATGTACTTTTACATTCCAACACTGTGGTTGCCAGTCTATCACAGGGCTGATTCACATCCCCATATACATTGTTAATTTAAACTAACCAGCTCGCCTGACCTGCATGTCTTTAGAGTGATGAATCCAAAACGCAGGAATACCATGCATGCAAATATGCAAATTTCACATTAAAGATTCCTTAGATGAACATACTCATCATGAAAAATAAAGCTTGGTTTGAATTAGACAGGAGAAGGGAAATATTTTGATGTATAGCTGACTAGCAATTGGAGCCACATACTGTAACTGAAGCTGAGAGATGTCAACATGCATTGCCTTTTTGATTAAAACCACTTTTTTGGATAGAAGCTTTCTAATAATTGGCATAGATGTGACTTACTCAAGGGTCTAGAAGTAAAAGTGAGAGGAATGGGATGAGACAGAGCTGCAATGACAAAACCCACAGGACCAGGACGGAAGAGGAAGATATAAATCAGAACTGAGCAGGGCAGTAAAAGAAAATTTCACACTGTATTACCCTTTAATATTTGCTAAAATTAGTTAACCCAGATGCTAACAGTGGCTACTTAGCAGAGTTGATGGGAATGTTTATGTCTGTACTGACATAATGCCACATAATATTAGCCACCACCAATGTGATTGTCTCCCAAGAACATTAGCAGGAATACTAATAAATCAGCTTTTCTCTGCCAAAACTGTGTGTCACATGTTGCTTTTAAAATTTGCCTACAATATTTAAAAGTATATTGCATTGATTTCAGACATAAAGGTTGGTTTAGGCTACTAGTCATGGGGTGTGTGAAAAAAGTTGCACAAGCTCCTCTATAGCTCTGAAGCGTGAAGGTACAAGAGGAACTGGATACTGGCCCAGTAACCTGACCGCATCCGTTTGTTACACAGAACCATCTGGCACCACATGTTCCTGCTCGGCCCAATGACTTTACATTGGGATGATGTCACAAAAATATAAATAACTTTTCTAAGCTCTTGGAAGGTTTGGCCAATGTAAAACCTTCATGGATTCAAAATGGATGATGTAAAGAATAATTGATTTTGTTTTTAACTGGATGAATCCCATCAACAGTTTGACAGATGCATTTGTAACATATCCAGATCTGGTAATAAATAAGTAAATAAGTAAATAAGTATGATGATGTCACCAGGGTTCACTGATGACATCACCACTGGCCATCTAGACAGGGTGTAACAAAAAAAGTATTTAGAAATTAAAGGATGCGGGTATCTACTATACAGGTAGAGTCTAATGAAAAATGGTATCTTGCAATTGCATTGTGGGAATCGTAAGATCCAGTGTTTTTGGAGCTTCTCTCATACTTGTACCTAAAACTCAGGATATATCAGCCTCAGTTGCTTCAATCTCTTTTTCTATTCTCTCTTGCAAGTCCCTAAACTCTGGTGATTTAGAAGCATACCTTACAACAGCATGCCGTACCCCTTTTCCTCTCCTCATGTCTTCTGTCTGTTTACTGTCACTGTCTAATAAAGCCAAAATCCTAAAGAAATCTATATATATTTATGTATGTATAAATCTATATAAGTTTTCAACCTGTTAACAGCTAGTAAAAAACTTAATTTTACATTTACATTTACATTTTTATTAATGTTTTATTTAGTTACATTGTCTATGATCTAGCGTTGAGTCCGTTTCTTGTGGCCTCCTGTTTTAGTGTGGTAGGTCAGTTATGAAGATATTTCTTGCCTCTTGATATCCACATGAAAATATCACTATCAGCAGTCCAAACTGCAGTGCTTCGTTTAGAAACCGAGCTAAGCTGGCAGCTTTAGCAGTGATGAGTAGGAAGTCTTGACTCATCCCACTGTGGGAATCACTGTGTGTATCTGACTAAAAGGATGGTTGCCTCACCGACACGACCATACTGTATGAGCTCTTTGACATATTGACAGTGATATTCATTATAGTCACACTGTTTCAGTCAGCCTGTGTATGTAAGTGTGAAGCACCGTGTGTACTGTGGGCTGCTACTATGATCTGCGTGTGTGTGAGAGAGAGGCTCCTGATCTAAGTGTTATGAAGTGTTGAGACATGAATTCAATCAACTTCAATGGGTTTGAATTTCAGTGTGGTACTGTGCAAAGAGCCTGTTGACACATAAATACTGAGGAACACACACATAATGTAAAAAGTGAAATGAGTAGGTTTACCTTGGCAGGTGAGGACTGTATTCTGACAATTATCCGGCAGAAGCTGAATAGAACTATCACTCAAATAATTATATTTCTGTAGCTTCTAGAAGTATTTACTGCACTGGTGGCATGACTGCAACCTTCTCATTCATTTAATTCATGTAAATATTTTAAATCCAAATGTTCTCCTGTATTTCTATGTTGTTCTAGTGTTTTGCAGGACCATAGTTCCTTACCTGATGACGTGCAGATGATATATGTTTGCAAAATCACAGATATATCCCAAACGACATGCATTCTTCGTTCAATTCATGCTCATTTTCTGCAGCTGTTGCGGGGTCGCACTTGTAGACGTCACGGCCTAACTTTGAACATTTCTCCCCCTCTTCTTTTTGGTCCTTCTGATCCCCGTCTGTCCCCCGGTGGAGCGCCGAGATGATTTGAAGGCTCGCAGGAGATGCGGTCCTCACAGCGCCGACCACCGTCGCTCCCCGGTCTGCTGTTCAGGCATTTCACTGGGTCTTTTCTTTTTACCCGCGTCTGTCATGTAGCCTGTCTATCTCTGTATCTGTACACCCTGAAGACATATCAGCTGTGAAATCCATTCACGGAGCATTTTCTTCTTCCATCCTCTCTCTCTCTCTTTTTCCTTTGGAGCGGGTGGATGTTCGTGGCGCACCGCTCGCTCGTCTGCAGCGGATCAGGCAACTTCAACTGACGACGCAAAGCGCACCGAGGGCGCACAGACAACACAGACACACAACATATTCATGATATTGTGTGATGACAGAAGTTTAAGCTACGTAAGGCAAAAAAAGAAAAAAAAACAAAGAAAAGCGTGAGACTTTGAGCTGAAGAGACAAATTATCAGCAAGTAAAGAAAGTTCATTAATGATTGGGAAACCATGCAAAGTGCTTTAGATGCAACAAACATACTTTATATGCAGATAACTTCCACATAAACCGTCATAGTGAGAGTTCTAAACAAGTCAGACACACAGTCAAATTCTATTATTTTATTCACAATTAAAAAAGAAAGCAAAACTCAAAAGTGATAGGCTATTCTTTCATTATTTTCTTTACTGATAAAAGAAATCATCCAGCGCAGTGATTCATTTGATGCTCTAAAATACAAAGAGAGTCGCAGAGCAACCAACTGTGGAGGCAGTGCACTGTGTTGTATGCAGATGGCCTTGAATGTTAGGTTGTATTGACCTACATAAAGACACTGCAACTCCCTCCTGCGGATGTTGCGCGACCTCTAGCGTTAACTTTGGGTAATAAAAAAAAAAGAGTGAGGTTACAGCAAACTGTCAGACTGACACTGTATGGAGGTTGAGATGTGACATAATGACATACTAACATTTAGAATGGGTATGCTGTGAATGTTTGCGTTCAGAGTCAGTCTTTGGCTTATATCAGGACAGCGACAGCTGAAGAGGCGGAGGTCATGTCTCCTGTTTTTTCCTTTTTGTATTATATATAATTTTCACATCACCCTTCTGTAAGTAGTATCCTGTAACTTATTGTCTAAAATATAATTATATGTGGTAGCATTATGATTTACAGCACCGGTCCGGGCTTTCGATCTACCAGTCGAGCTGCATTCCAACTTTCACTTGTTGTCAGGAATGTTGGAACTTGTTTCCAGGCTGTAAATATTGGTGCATGTAAAGGGTCAGACTGGGACAAAATTCAAAATCATCCACAATATCATTAAAGTCCAATGTACTGGTCAGTTTGCTCACATCCGTCCACATACGGCGGCCATAGAATGTACATACTTCAATAACACTAAAAGAACTGTTACAAATTGAATTTATGTATTCATAGTGTCAGTCCAAAGACAGAAGACACATGTTATGCTGTGTTTTCTCTGCCTCCTGTGACTTACACTCATGTACAGTGAGGTCTACATCTGACTTGTGTTCATGATGAAACCTCAGATTATAGTTCACAACAAACCAAAAGGACAAGAATCAGAGAGACAGGGAGACAAAAAGAGAGCAGGACATTTTAGATTTCTGATCAGTCAGTTATTTATCCATCATCGTCATCCCGTTCTCTCTCTGTCTCTGACAAGCACACACACTCTAACACACACAGATATTACATAAACTCTTGTTATTTAATCCATTTTCATCTGTTCTCACACAGACAGTTTCCACAGACGCAGAGATTAATGCTGTAAAGATGTGAGATTCAGCTTTGACCTACATTGACATGGCTTTAAGATCATCTCTGATTCTTTTATGTGTCTCTATGTGCCTCACTTAACACCCCCGCGCCACACACACACACACACACTCAGACCCTTCCCAACCTCTTGTGTCGGCGGAGAGCAGCTTTGTTAATCTCCCTCAGCAGAGTCTCCTTGTTGTTCTTCATGTTGAATTTCGCCGTCTGCAGCACAAACTCAATCTTCTCCTGGTTGAAGGGGCGCTGGAAGGTGGAGAACTCCTCCATCTTTGCTTTGAACTCCTCAGCATCTACAGAAAATAGTGAGGATCTGTTTAGGCTCCAGTCACCTGTTATCACTGATGAAATCCTGAGTACTTAATACCTTCCCCCACTCCCAAAGATTAACTAACGTTAAGGCTATTCATTCCTAGCAAGTCGACACTTCCCTAGACAATTCCCCTGTCAAGTCAAAGATTTTCTTTTAACATATCAGGTAAAAACCAATTACCATTACCACAACCATTAATTTCTTCCTCTGCCTTCCGCTCTGAATGCTATTATTAAGTATAAAAGCATTTTAAAAAAAGAGTATCTAACAACAGCAATGATCTGTTTAAACAGAGTGTGCGGTGCATCGACTAAGAGAGTATTAATCAATGCACTTTTCATTAGTCGGCTATTCCCAGAAAAACAAAAAAGCATAACGAGAGCTGTGCCTTGACACCGTAACAAAGGTCTCGGGATTGTTACAACACAGAACTTTTTTCTGTTGTAACACAGCACTGCTGCATGTGCTGACTGCTGTTGAAATAAATTAACTAAATGTTCAGTCTCCTTGCTGCTTGTTCTGACCCATTCAGAACCATTGCCACTTTTTAAGAAAAAAAATCAAATAATTAACATCATAAACATTTGATGTCCAGTTGACTATTGACGTGAACTAACAACTACTAGTTGACCAGGAAAATCTTCTGTCGGGGACAGCCTAAAGCATGTAAACCTATTCTAATAGACCAACATATAAAAGTATGAACCTGAACAACAGCATAATATGGCCGGTTTTAATATATTATATTAATATTATACCTCTGTTGTTAAAATGGCATTATATTTGGTGAAGAATGCATTATGGTTTGTTTAAGACTCGAAACTCAACTTGGGACTTGCCTGTCTGACTTGAGCCTTGAATGCTTACTTGTGATTTTGGTCCCACCTTTGTTGTATAGTATTTGTTTTTCAATCAGACCTGTTTGCTGGTTGCCTAACTGCTAATTTGATTTGGTACCTCAAATCATGGCTCACTGCAGTTTGAGAAAACATGATTTGATTTGTCTCCCGAGCAGTTCTGCTTCTGAGAACAATAGTCACAAAAAAAGCTGCACGTGCGGCGTGAACAAACCTTTGCAGTTTCGTCTATTGAAGAGCGGCATGTAAACGATCGTGGGCTCCTTTTCTTTCCCCTCGAACACGTAGCAGTCATTCGGCCAGTCTCTCTCCTCCAGGATTTTGTCATCTATCTCTGGAAAAGGCTTCTTCACCTCGGCTGCGTAGTCTCTGGCAAGAGTCAGGGTCTGAAGGGAGCAGAGGGTGAACGTTGTTTCAGACAGGTTTCACAGCTTTCATGCTCTGGAACAAAGTCTGGGCAATAAATCACACTGGAGGGATTGGAGTTACTTTAGCTGTCATCCTCCCCTTCATAAGTTAGGGTTAGACAGGTTTTTAATAAGGCATACATTAATGAAGGGTTTTTAATTTGTAATTAATGATTTCATTAATGGTTAATTTCATTAAAAGTTGATATCTTCCACATCTATACGAGAAGGATATGAAGGAATGGGCTGAAGGTGACAGTGATCGCTCGGTTAAATTACTGAAGCTGAAACGAACCCGATCTGAAACATGACACATTTGTTGTTAAATTGTTGCATTTTTAGTGACCCAGAGAGTGGTTCCATTGTTCGAAAAGGGGAAGAGAGTCGAATCCAACCATAAAATAGAGGAAGGTATACCAAGCTTTGTGATTATGGAGCATATGCATTTCAGCCAGGTGATCCTTTGTCTACTTTAAACTTCTCCACACAACAGACTTTGGCTGGAGATAGATGAGAGTTTTGCTCTTTGAATGAAACAAAGACGTTAAGGTGGTATTTATCAAGGTTTTGCATATTAAAGCATTTAAGCTGAACCTCAGACTTGGTTGTATTAAGTCCAGTAAAAGAAGTAATTAGTTTCAATCCAGGGTTTAGGCAGACTGACACACACACTACAGTACCTCAAACATGTTTCCAGCGCTGTACTCTGGTGCGATGATGAGGTCAATGTCTCTCTTGTCTCCCAGAAATGAAGGGTAGGCTACATTAATCAGCAGGCCGGCATCCACCAGGTGGAATCTCTCTTTGGAGCGGAGGCAAGGTGGAATGGTGGAATCTGCCCAGCAACAGAAGTTTAGAATTTCTCAATTCAACCAAACTTGTTTTAACTTATTTATTTACTTACTCGCATCTTGATTATTGTATTTCATTACAGAATAGCCTATAATAACCAGACAAATCTGGAAGCTTATGTTTTATTTGCATCTGGTCCCCCTTCCATTCAGACAGATTCCACCCTGTCCTGCATCAGGTCAATCACAACCATTTATCTGATATGGGGCAGGTTTTATACAATCACTGTACAGATGAGTGCAACCTTACTGACCGTTGAGGCATATTCGTGAACAACCAGGATGGCTGCTGGCTGATTTCTGTTTCTTTTGACATGTATTTTGACATTTTAGTTTGGCCCGTGTCCCATCTGCTAACATGGAGGGCTGGCTGGCAGCAGGCCTATACTGCAGCCAGCCACCGACTCTATAGCTGTTCACCAGTTACTTACTGTGTCTGTCTGCTGCTGAGCACACAGTGTGCAGCAGGTTTATCAGAACTGAAAACAGCTGTCTGCTACTACTGGAAACACAAGGTCACTTACTGCACATACAAGAGAGTGGAAACAATCTTCTTATTTAATTGTCAGCAATAAGGTGAATAAGCACATTATACACTATTCCAAAATTGTGATTTTTTTTTTTACTAAAGTCAGTTGTGGTTATTGCTTCTGAGGTCTGTCATCTCACCTTGGTATTGGTAGAGGAAGTTTGCAGTAGTTCCCCACTCCCATTTCATAATCAGAGGAAGGACTTGCTTGGTAAGCAGAGAGACTGGAAGGGGAAACAAAAACATGTTTACATCTCATTTAAATAAAATGTGTCTGTCTACAGCATTGACCAGTCTGGCTGTTTATCTGCCATACACTGACCATGTGTTTTGAAAGCTCCATCCTCCAGACTCCGGCTCCAGGCCTCCACTGCCGCCAGCAGCTCCAGACTCCACTGCTGAAAAACACTACGTCTATCCTCCAAACTCTTTGACTCCAGCAACGCAGAGTCATTATGATTTACCTTGTCTGCAAAGATAAGAATCTAATTGACACTGTGGCATTTTGAATCAGACATTTGCTGAGTCATTATTTTATAACAGACACAAAAAAGTTAAATTGGGAAGAAAATTTAAACGATGGCATTCCTCTCTGAGGATCAGCAGCTGCAGTGTTGTAAATTAGCTTGCAGCTACCAAAATAATTGGATTTAAAGAATAAAGCTGATGAGAGGTCAGATTTATAGTAAACCATCTGAGCAGGATCATCATCATCATCACCAATACCTTTGACTATTTTCTGCAGCTTGTCCAGGTCAGACAAAGCAGCAGGGTCCTTAATGGTGCTTCTGGTCAGGGCTACTAGTTTATCAAGGGCATTGTACACACGCAGGTACTCTTCAGCAGCACCATCTACATGCCCAGGCACTGAAACACACACACACACAGACACATCGAGCAAGTATGTAACCATGAAGTTGTCACTTTGTGAGATTTAGTATGTATAAAAATGCAAACTGGGATTACCGTTCAACCAGGGAGGGATGAACTCTCTGATAATCTCCTCATGAGCCAGCGCACAACCAAGAACACCTGCATGGTATGAACACACACACAGTTTGACAATGAGGATTAATAGGCATGCATATCCTACAGTATTTTTCTGGGCTCTTCTCACTGGCTTGAATAAGGCTAAGCTCATTTAAAAAGAGGTGATGTTGTATACGTCTGTGCACCAGACAGAATTTATTCAAAATCTAAGGAGAGTTAGCAGGCTGTTTAGCCACCCTATGAAACGTATTTTAAAATGTCGGTAGTCTAACGGGCAGGTAGGCTAGTGGGAAGGTTGCAAACTGAAATTAACTAAAAACCATTTGCATCTGTATTTGACGACCTGGGAATGAGAACAAGCTGTGAAGGGAGAAACTACGGTGGCAGCAAAACTCGCGAAAGACGTGAAAGTTTCTATTTACAGCCGGTGTTTGGCTTGTCTGTTCTGAGCTACTGTAGAAACTTGGCAGTTCTATGTGGCGCACTCCATGGAAAGTCACCCACAGCATCTGTAGATAGAAATGACTCATTCTAAGCTAATGAAAAACAACTATTCTTATTTTTAGGTGATTATAGACTAATGAAAACATACCTATGAATATTATATTCCATTTCTGACAATAAATCCTCGTAAATGTTACACACTGGACCTTTAAATAGGTGTACAATATGATCAGGGATGTGATTTAAAAGGGTTAAAAAGCTACTTCACAGCTACTTCAAAATAAAAGCACTGTTGCAGCCTTTGTTTCCAGGTGTTTAGTTACTGCTCTTACCACTCTACTGTTGCCATCAAACAAATTGTTCAGCCTGTGAACACACACCTTGTAGTTTGACCATGTCCATCTCTGGCTTCCTCTCCAGCAGCTCTCCGCTCTGGAATTTGCTGCCAAGGAGAGAAGTTTCAACGAAGACACCCAACTCTGTGAAACCAGCCTCATGAGGGCTCACCTCGAACCATTTCCCTGAGAAACAGAGAGTCTATTTTACACTTAATACAAATTAGTAACTAATACAGTACAGTACGTACGTATAGGTCCAAATGTAACGCTCATATGCGTGTGTGTACCTTCTATAGGCCCATCTGAAAAGCAGTGTTTCTCTATGGCGCTGTAAATGGGGTAAGGGTTGGAGGCATTTCTGCTGGCCTCATCTGAAAGATGCCGTAGGTCCATCTGATGAAACACAAGATATTTCTCTGAAGGAGCACATATACGATCTTTATGTATCTAAAACATATACAATCCCACCCCAGCCACAGCCTGTTCACCCTGCTGCCGTCTGGCAAGTAATACAGAAGTATCCACTCCTGTAACACCAGACTACACTTCTTTCCTCAGGCTGCGAGACTATTAATTAATCCTCTGCACTCCACCATAAATAATAATTTATCTTTATGACATTATTTATTTAGCCATTTACTATATATGTTTGTGTTTTTTGAGTAGCATTCATGGACTACAACTTGCATTTTTCAGAAATTTTAGAATGATAAATAAATGAACCTTGTATAACACGGTGTGTTGGGTTTCAGATGGGAAATATTAAGAGTAGACGTGTGTGTGTCTTAGCTCTGGCACCTGTTTCATGATCCCAGCAGAGGTCAAGACCCCCCAGATATCAGTGAGAGAGAAGTGCTCCTCCTTTGACCGCTCGCCCAACCAGGCCAGAGCCTGCTCAAGCTCTACCCCAGGACCTGAGAGTGTGGACACCGCTCTGTCCATGTTGGCGCTCCACTGTGGGTCGCTGTACAGGGACGACATGGACCTGAGAGAGAGAGAGAGTCAGGTACACATAGGTCAAGAGGAACTCTTATGGAGAAAAACTCAAAAATCATTTTCTGTAATTCATTAATTGGTGGGTTGGTCCACCACTTTGGTCCAGACTGAAATATTTCGACATTGAATTCCTATATTAATTTTGTTTATTGTTAATTAGCAAATGTTACCTTGCTTACACACTAAACACTTGGAAATGTATTAAAATTACCAAATATGCTGGAAATTAACTTTTATGTCCTGGAACATTTCAAATAGTATTTCAGCGCCTCACTCAGATTATGTAAACCTGGGTGCTCATTTATAATTTCTAGAGCTGTTCGCACCATTTAGAGCAAACTTTGGGCATCAAGTCTATTTTGGAAATGCTGTAGATGATCACATATACATGTCTGTTAATGATCTAATTTACACTTGTTGTTGTGGTTGATAATCGTTAATTGTATGTACAACAAACATTTATACCATTTACCTCTTCTTTTAATGGCTAATCGGTGAGAATATGTATATATATTTCTGGTAAATAAAATAAATTCTATTCTTTTTAACTGTTATTTATGGGCTCTGGCTAAATAAATGTTACAGTTAGAGGAAAACTGTAGTCAGTTTGCAGGAGAGTGCCACTCCGCTCTGCTGAGCCCCCAGCGGAAAAATCTGCTGGGGTGAGAACAGCCAAGCGTGCCACAATAAAGCTTACATACAAACTGCTTCCTCATTGATCAGATTACATTACAGTCCATGTACCAGGAAGATCTCCAGTCCTGAGCATTACATGTCACAACATGGCAAAGCAGAAATGCTGTAAAATAAACTTCATAACTTAATATATCGTATAATTTTTAAGTATTTTTTCCAAATGCTCCTGCAGCCTCTCACAATCCAACCAAAGCCTCAGGTCAAGGGGCTTTGCTCAAGGGCACCTCACTGGTAGCTGTTGGGGGCAGAGTCATTCAACCCGGTGACAGTTCAGTCACAGCTCTCAGTTCTGCTCTGTCCATCTGTGCATTGTGCCATTCATACACAAACTTGTGTTTATGTGCATAAGTGTGATTGCTGTTACCATGTTGAGCCAGAAACTCCTCCCAGGTAGAGCAGAGTGTCCAACAGACTTTCTTTTTCCATCTGATAGAGGGTACCCACCAGACCCACGGCTGACCTCTGACCCCCACCTGATGCCAGCAGAGCGATGTGGGGAACTGAATCCTGGTTGGAAAGATGATGGACATGATGCTTATTAGTATCTGTTAACAACCATACAGCTTCAGCAGTAAAGAGAATATTTACTGCAAAAAAGCCAAATTACTTGAATTGAAAATGCACATGACATTTGTGCAAAAGTTTCCAAAGAAGAATAAAAGACAGAAAGAAATTCTTTCTTACTGCAGTACAGTTGGTTCCCAGGCTGTTGAGTGACTCCAGAACAACTTGTTTCCTCTTGTGAACGTACTCCTGTTCACCAGCACACAGAGACTGAGACTGACGGATGGGCCTCTGGTAAGAATCAAGGACAGCTAACATAATTAGACTGAATGGGAAATTATAAACTTGTCATTGTTTAAGGACTCTAAAAATACAGAGAATGAACTAGAATAAGATACCAACAATAAAATAAGATAAGAAGTGTGAAATAAGCAAATATACAAATATTTAAAAGTGGGGCTATTTATTCTGGAGAAACTGATTACCATGACATGGTATTGGTAATGGTTCCCAAGACCCCCACTAGGGGTCGCTAAAGCTTAGGGTGTGCTAGAAAACTATACTAATATACACAGTAGGTCTGTATGTCAGCATTTAGTTCCATTCTGTGAGGAAAGGAAATGTAAAGTAAAGTAAATTGTTAAGTAAACTGTCTAATACAACAATGGCCAAGCGTCAGGAACAAAAAACACTCAATATGTCAAAAAAGAAGTCATAGCCAAAGAACTGATTGTTAAACGATGATAAAAAATACATAATACTGACAGAGAATTGAATAAGAAGTTACCTAAACAGGAAATAATCTGCTCAAAATGTATTATTATATTATATTATATACTATATTATTAATATTTGCAGATTTGAAAATAAAAGCATTTATTGATTTCTAATGCCACGTTTAGATATTTGTATTCAATGATTTGCTAATGTGCCACATTAATAATAATGCTTTCGAGTTCAAATATCTTCATTTGAGAGCTTTTCCAAACTAATACTTTTTTGATTTCATTTTCCACAATAGGAGCAATAAATACCACTACTGTCATGACAATCAATAAAAGTGTACAGCCAAATGTCCAAAGACTAAGAATTATTTTGTGTTTTCTGTAATTTTTGTGTTTTTTTGTCATGTATGCTCCTGTAGTCCTACAGACAAATGGTACACACAGACACACAAAGTATCAGGGTAGCAGAACCTGACATGTAGGTGCAATTTCCTGTTAAATGATAGACATTGGACTATAAAAATCATGCTACTAATGAGCAACCCAAATCCTTTGCCATGCATTTCTCACCTCAGAACAAGTTGCGTTCCCTTCCATGTTGTCCACTGCTTCTGCCAGCGCCGCTGCTATCACAAGCCAAAGGCAAATCACTGAGGCTGAAAAACGTGCATTTCCACTCTTCATGTTGGGGCGTGGACACAACCTACAAAGAGTCAAATGAAATGCTACAGGTAAATCCACATTCTAGTGAAAGTTCTGCCGTCTTCTGACTCGGTTTCCACTATATTTCTGTGATCAGATGTTGCTGGTTTTTATTTGGCTTCCCCTGTTGAGGGGCTGCTCCGGGGGGAGGGGGATTTCTCAACAAGCACCAGATGTTAAATTTAAACCAAGCTTAAAAAACAGGGAACAAAGTAGAGGGAGTGCCAGTGCTCCCATCCAAAGTACGTAAATGAGCCAGCTAATAAAGTCTGTAGTGATGGGTCAACATTACTGAAGCCCCTAATCAGACATTCTTTCTGTTCTCACAATGCTGTTCTCTCTGATAACCCTTCCTCTAGTCCTGATGTCTAATCAATCATGATCATTTGAAGAGTCTATCAATCGATGACTGATTGAATCAATGACGATAAAGAGATATCTAATTTTCCCTATGGTATAAGAGCTGTGATGGCTGTTAAGGCGTTGGACTTGAAATCCAACCTACATGCTGGCATCAGAGGCACGTGGGATTTAGCAGCATCTACCAGTGAAGTTGTAGATTACAACAAACTGAATACAGCTCAGCCTTCCAAGCAAGCAGGAGGCAAAAGGAGCCAGGGTTTGGTTTGTCTGGGCTACTGTAGAAAGACCATTCCACATATACAGCTTATTGTAAATTTTATGCACCATTGCACTAAGACAAATTCCTTGTGTGTTTAAAAACCTACCTGGCAATAAATTTGATTCTGATTCTGATTCTGATAACTGGTGTTGTGCGAGTTATCAACCCAGTAAGTCAACCCAGGTTTCCCCAATGCAGCTATAAGTGCGTTCACATAAAAGGGGGGGTGTTTGCAGAAAATGACCAAATCACAAACATGGAGAAATCCACAGGACTTGCAGCAGAGCGAAGAGCAAACCCTAACATGTGACAGCCCCTCCACTCCACTAGGTGTCCTCATTTTGGTTGCTGGTTCTTAGTTTTCCAGGACCCTGGTCAGGGCGGAGGTTCAGCAGCCAGATAATAGGGGGCGCTATTCAGAGGCCAAAACTATCACTGAAAGAAATAAGTCTAGCTCATACTACCAGTATCACACTGACCTGAGTTCAGCAGCAGATCTGCCATTCAGTAGCAACATTGGTATTTAAGGTAGGCTAATTAGGCTGTCACTGACCTAAGATCAGCGAGCGAGCTCTGTCAGAAGGCGCGTCACTACGTCACTACGCAAGCTCACCTTTCTCATTATCTTGCAGTGTAAGATTAGTGAACTCAATTAGTTTGTTAAATGGGAAACAATGGATGGATTGGTTTTCAGACATCCTCAGTTGTTGAATAACCCTTTTCAATAGCAACCAGCTGATGCTTTGAAATGTCAGCGATGAGTGTACATATATTTATATTAATATATAATTATAATAATAATAATAATAATAATAATAATAATTGTGTCTTTTTGGAAACTGCTGGCTTTGTGGCGTTCTGTGTGGCCTCTGAGGTGTTTCCCTCTGTCTCTCTTTTAAGACTCTGCTGCTGTGGTCTGGTGTTTTAATACAACTCAGTAACACGTGCAGAGCTTTTGTGTCTTTGCTTCCATTGCTAAGATGTTTTTGCAGGAAGAGGAAAATCTCACTCTCCCTGCATGTGGCCTCTTCTATGCCAACAAGAGGATCACAAGTGCTAATGAATGCACTAACCTTATTTTTAACGGGGTAGTCAATGTGGCATTTGCACCTTTCTTCAAGTGGGCGTTGAAAATGGGCAGTGCTTAAATGTTATAGCAACTGTTTTGTGTTTCATTCGTTTTGGCCTGGAGCTGTCAGTCTGAGGTCCCTTTACAAGAGGACCTTAGAATTAAACATACAAGAGTACAAAAGACTCCTAATGCAGAAGGTCAGATTTGAGGTGGAGAAACTGGAGGATGAAAAGAAGGTAATCCAGTAACACAATTTATTTCCTGCCGAGGCATGGGAAACAATGTATTTTCCTTTGTTACCAGGAACGCCAGAAGAAATAAAGGCCCATATTTTGTCTTTTTATACAAAAAAAATGCTCTGTGATGGCCTCTCTCACAGCCCTGACAGTAGGGTGGTCCAGGGTGGAGGGTCCCACAACATCAGGGGTTTGTGTGTTGATATGGGGCCCTCTTCTTCTAAATTATGGCTAAATTGTAGAATGTTGTACAATAATTCAGCAAGGCAAGTCAAGGCATGTGAAGCTTTCAAGATGTCACAGACAGAAAAACTAGTCCATGCATGTGTTGCTTCTAGGTTGGATTACTGCAACTCTTTATCACCAGGCTGCCCCAGTAAATCCATTAAGACGCTACAGTTGATTCAGAACCCTGCGGAACAAGTACTGACAGGAAAAAGAGATCATATCTCTCCTGT